AACAAAGACTAGTTAAAAACAATTTTATGGTCCCCCAAAACGAAAAAATTACAAAAAATGTTTGAAATGTTATAGGAAAAGGTTCACAAAAATAATTTTTTTTTGGTTTTTAGTAAAAATTGGTTGAAAAATGAAGACTGCGGTGAATTACGAACATTACATTCCAATTTTGAACCTCTGTGTGCTGCAAAGGATGACGAAGTCCTTGAAAAGGATTTGGCTTCATTTTCCGGAATCGGTTAATTAACTGGTAAATATTTGATTTAAATTACGATATGGGTAAGGTACTTTTATCGTACAAGTTGTATGTATGTACGTATTCCCAAATAATTTTGAAAAAAATGTCCTTTATTTTACATTGGTTAATATGGTCACCGTACATATAAGAGTAGTTGTAGTATTCTTTATATGGAAGAAAATACACAACACCATCAGTCAAAAAAGTAATTAAAAATTAACGCAATTTCCTAGCGTCTTGAAATTTACACTTTAACCTACTAAAATTTAATGGGCTATAAAAAGCTGCATAACTAAAATTCTGAATAAATTATTGTAATTTAGGTACGAAGCTTTAAATGTGGATTTATGTGGTGTTGGTTATGTAATGTGCTAGACTTTTATAAAAAAAAAATATAAGCATGAAATAAACAAAAGAAAAGTTGCCAAAACTGGTCAAAATGTCACTTAACTTAATCAGCTGGCCACAGGTATATATGTATATTAGACTGCATCACCAAAAAAATTTACGGTTTTTCCGCTGGGATTACCGACCGATTGAAAATACCTCCAAAAATGGAGTTTTTTTATGAATAAAAATAGTTTCTTAAAGAACTTTTTGAAAAAAATCCCTCAGATGACAAACAAGGTTAAGCTTAAAAAATCTGCATACAAATATTTAAAAATCTTTTCAACGGAATCGTAATAATGAGATTTTTGATGCTGTTTTTTACTTTTTTCAAAGATTGATTAACGAAAAACTTGAATAACTGGACCAAAACTACTCTGATTTAGACTAATGGGATTTAAGTAGAAAGGTATTTTCCCTCTTTTTCTTTCTGTGCAAAAAAGTCATTCGTGTCCCAATTTTTTTTTTTCAAATACCAACAAATCTTAATTCAACTTTCAATGATGTTCGTTTATCCTACCTTTCTCTTTCATCCTTTGAAGGAGTTTATTAGCAAAGAGATAAAAATGGTGAGAAAATACCTTTCCAATGATAACTTAAAAGTCTAAATCGGAATAGTTTAGGTTCAGTTATTCAAGATTTTCTTATACCAATCTTTGAAAAAAGTTAAAAAACAGCATCAAGAATCTTATTACGATTCCGTTGAAAATTTTTAAAAAAATTTTTTAATATTTTTATGCAAATTTTTTAAGCTTTAACCGTTTTGCCATTTGAGGGGATTTTTTCAAAAAAGTCTCTAAAGACTGTCATATTTTGACTCCAAAATTTGGCGACATATTTCGACACAGCTCTATCTCCTTTATCCATACCTTGTCCGATGATATTATGGGCCAAAAACTGACAGATAGCCGATTTCGCAGCACAGGTACACGACTAGAGACCTATCCTGATTGATTGATCAATCGATAAACTGCTTTTTGATCCCATTTGACAATGTGTTTTAACTTATTTCACGACAAGTGCCACTGAATTTGACATAGTGAAAACCAGTCTTAAGAAACTATTTTTATTCATAATAAACTCCATTTTTTAATGTATTTTCAAATCGGTCCAGCTCACGTAAATCTTAATATTTTTCGGAAATATTTTGATGGACATCTTAAAATATAATAAATTTTATATTTCCAATGGAAACACAGTATCGATTTTTTTTTTTTTGTATGGGGAGTGATGCAGTCTAATGTATATACATAACTTTACCAAACTGATCCCTCTATAACTTTTATAAATAATCCCTTTTTTACTCATTTATCGACATGCATTTTATCGTAGACTGGCTGCGTCATAACTCATATCTACCCCGAAGGGGCACTCGCTGCGGATAAACGCCTTCAAATTTTCGGTCACATAGTGGAGGTCAACAGCCGACCAATAAATTGCAGCGAAATGACAACACTAAAGGTACATCAAGTATTCCACACGTGTTATCAGAAAGTCGTAACATTCCAGGTGTTCCGCGCAGACTCAATAGAAGTGGAAAAGTTTAACGTGGAATTCATGAAGAAGCCTGGAAAAAATCTTGGCCTTTCATTGGCTCCAAATGATCGTGGTTGCACAATTTCCGAAATGGTAAGTCCGCCTACTTAGATTCTGTTTAGTTTGTACTATTTTTCTTTTTTTTTCAGATACCGTCGCGTTATGCCGAGATAGGTAACAAATTGCAACGAGGAGATATAACAAAAATTAACGGCGACTCCTTAGAGGGTTGTACTTTTGAAATATGCTATGAGCATCAAGAATCTTATTACGATTCCGTTGAAAATTTTTTTAATTTTTTTTTAATATTTTTATTCAAATTTTTTAAGCTTTAACCGTTTTGTCATTTGAGGGGATTTTTTCAAAAAAGTCTCTTAAGACTGGTTTTCACTACGTCATATTTTGACGCCAAAATTTGGCGACATATTTCGACACAGCTCTATCTCCTTTATCCATACCTTTACCGATGATATTATGAGCCAAAAACTGACAAGATAGCCGATTTCGCAGCACAGGTACTCGACTAGAGACCTATCCTGATTGATTGATCAATCGATAAACCGCTTTCTGATCCCATTTGACAATGTGTTTTAACTTATTTCACAAGTGCCCCTGAATTTGACATAGTGAAAACCAGTCTTAAGAAACTATTTTTATTCATAAAAAACTCCATTTTTTGATGTATTTTCAAATCGGCCCAGCGCACGTAAATCTTAATATTTTTGGGAAATATTTTGGTGGACATCTTAAAATATAATAAATTTTATATTTCCAATGGAAACACAGTATCGTTTTTTTTTTGTATGGGGAGTGATGCAGTCTAATGTATATACATAACTTTATCAAACTAATCCCTCTATTATAACTTTTATAAATAATCCCTTTTTTTACTCATTTATCGACATGCATTTTATCGTAGACTGGCTGCGTCATAACTCATATCTACCCCGAAGGGGCACTCGCTGCGGATAAACGCCTTCAAATTTTCGATCACATAGTGGAGGTCAACAGCCGACCAATAAATTGCAGCGAAATGACAACACTAAAAGTACATCAAGTATTCCACACGTGTTATGAGAAATTCGTAACATTCCAGGGGTTCCGCGCAGACTCAATAGAAGTGGAAAAGTTTAACGTGGAATTCATGAAGAAGCCTGGAAAAAATCTTGGCCTTTCATTGGCTCCAAATGATCGTGGTTGCACAATTTCCGAAATGGTAAGTCAGGCTACTTAGATTCTGTTTAGTTTGTACTATTTTTCTTTTTTTCAGATACCGTCGGGTTATGCCGAGATAGATAACAAATTGCAACGAGGAGATATCATAACAAAATTTAACGGCGACTCCTTAGAGGGTTGTACTTTTGAAATATGCTATGCGTTATTCGAAGCAGCCATTGGAATAATCTCAATGGAGATCTCACGACCTAAACCTACTCGTCGCACTGAACCGTCAAAATAAATTTTAAATGATAAACATAATTTGTATAATAAAACATTATATTTAAATGTAATTTATTAAACAATATGAGGAGTTGGTATTATTCTTTTCGAAATTAGGCGATAGAACTGGCATTAGATGCAATACGAGGCCACAAATCTGCGCATTCCTTCGCCACAGGGCCGGTTATGGCGGAACCTTTCATTTCACCTTTATTGTTCACTATCACCCCCGCGTTATCTTCAAAGTATATGAACACGCCATCCCTCCTTCTGAATGGTTTGCGTTGCCGGATTACTACGGCTGGCATGACCTAAAAATACAGATATTAATTAAACATTAGAATTCTTCAATGATGTTAAATTATAATAGATTTGTATGTACATTTGTATCAGAGCTGGGCACTTTATGATAACGATTACATTTTGATTACTAAGGATTACGATTACTGTAATGGTATTCCCGCAAAAGCTACAGCAATACGATTACTGTAATTGTAATTATATCAAGCTTGATTGCGAATACGGCATAAATGCAGAATACCTCCGATTCTCAAATCAAAAAAAAAAACAAGTAAGAAAGTCTAAGTTCGGGCGGAGCCGAACATTAAATACCCGGCGCAAGTATTAAATATATGTTTTTCACCTTTCCGAAAACTACCGCTACATGGTAAGCCGGGGTGGGTTTTACCCCTATTTTTNAAAAACAAGTAAGAAAGTCTAAGTTCGGGCGGAGCCGAACATTAAATACCCGGCGCAAGTATTAAATATATGTTTTTCACCTTTCCGAAAACTACCGCTACATGGTAAGCCGGGGTGGGTTTTACCCCTATTTTTAACATCTTCGATAGAACGTTCAGTTAGACATAATGAGATAAACATATAGTCATATGTGGGCGGTATCACGCCCATTTTCCAAAATTCCAAATAATGTTACTTCTTTTCAAGGGATTGTTGTTAGTATTAATTTTGAGTCAATTAGCGTCCTTAAATTTCGAAATATAGAAGTTTCAAGCATTTCTGAAATTTACCGTCATATGAAAAGTGGCCGTAATTTTAGTCCGATTTCAATAATTTTCAACGATTTGCTTTTATATGGCAAGCACAATAACCGAACCGAGTTTGGTAAATTGGTAAAACGGTTACTGAGATACATATATGTGATCATAAGTGGGCGTTGCCACGCCCGTTTTCCAAAATCTTATCATAAACGTACTTTCTGGTAAAGAGTTGTTGCAAGCATAAATTTTGAATAAATGAAATGAATGAAAATGAATTTAGTATTTATTGATTTATCGAAGATTTCGTATTTCGATTTTCAGCCGGACGAGACAGACAGAAAGTCACCGCTTTCATTCTGATAATTTATGTATACATTTGTCTATATCTATCTCGATTCGTTTTGCCTGTTACAAACAACCGTTATGTGAACAAAGTTATAATACCCTTGTGCACAAGTGCGCTCGGGTAAAAAAACATATCGATAGAGATCATTGCGGTGAACGAATGGATTTTAAATGTTTTGGTCGCATTTAATAGGAAATTTAAGTCCCTTTAATTTTATATACAGTTGTTTAAGCGACTTATGTATTTCCCGCATAAACAAAGAACAGCGAACACACACACGCACTTGTATTGCACTCCCGCCCAAAACCAAGTGCAGCGAATAAACACATGCACTTGTGTTTAAAAATAATTCTCTCGTTCTTCATTGGGTATGCATTTTTTTATGCACTTCTCAACTGCCGCAGAACAAAACCTACTAAAGTAGTTAATTGCTGGCACCCCAAATCATGCTCAACAATCTCGCTTGATGCATCACCACTCCTCCGGGCTGGTTATAAACAGCAAAAGCCAAAGCGCTACAAGCTGTTGGGGCTCTGTATGACTTTCAGCAAACAGAGGTGGTACAAGAGCTACCATTGGCCACGGCGCCTACCCAATTTTANATTTTTGAACTTAAATAAATAACCGGTGCTCAACACTCCGCTTGACGCACACCCCCAAAAACTCTTACAGAGTTTAAGCGGCAAAGCCACAGCGCTACAAGCCGTAAGGACTCCGCATGACTTACAACCATGCAGAGGTGGTAACTGATGGTTATCATTGGCTCCGACGCCTAACCAAACCATTTTTGCTTTAATAAATTTTTATGCAAATAAATTCATCCTGGTCCTGCCCTCACACTGAGTTATTCATGGTCCTTCGAGCCGGATGCTCGCGGCTTAATTTACATCCACTAGACGACAAGTCGTCTAGGGGGGCCCAGGATGTTTAAGCGACTTATGCATTTCCCGCATAAACAAAGAAAAGCGAACACACACTCGCACTTGTATTGCACTCCCGCCCAAAACCAAGTGCAGCGAATAAACACACGCACTTGGGTTTAAAAATAATTCTCTCGTTCTTCATCGACTAAAGTAGTTAATTGCTGGCACCCCAAATCATGCTCAACAATCTCGCTTGATGTATCACCACTCCTCCAGTATTGAGCCCGGTGGCATTAAACACCCAATATTGAATTTCAAAAACGTAAAAAATATTCGAAATGTTAGAGTTATAAGCGATCGGTGCACCATACTTCATCTAAAAATGTGCAGCCATTTCTGAGTGATGAGAGGTCTCGCATAGTGAAGGTCTTTAATTTCATCAAATTTCAAATCCCTTTATACCGACAAAAAAATATCTTAGTTAAAAAATAAAACTACAAGCTAAGGTATTTAATTTGACCTCCTATTCCAAAGAACTGTGCAAATTTAATGGCTATCACCAAAACTGCCTTCTCGTATAGTAGATATACATACGTACATATCCTTACCTTAATATAGAAAGGCCCTACGTACATATCCTTACCTTAATATAGAAAGGCCCTATCTCACATCGTCGCTGGAATGCAAAAAAGTCGTAACTTCCCAATTTTTTTTAATGTATAAATCGATATAGGAACTTGCAATTCGCTGAAATGCTTCATAAGCAATCGAAAAGTGAATTTTGGATTTTCATTACGGATTTTTGTATTTCAGCGACGATTAGACCTTCTCCAAAAGTATTTTCAAACTAAAATCTTTTTAAATTTCGTTCGTCTGACATTGTGATACACTTGTATTTCAATAAACTGATCACCTAACTTGAATTTCATTGTTCAAACATGCGACAATCTTCCTTAATAAAATTGAGAAATAAAGAGTTTAAATTAAATGTAACGGTGGAAAAATAGGCAAAGTTGCATTTATTTTTAAGAAAATATATAAATTTAAATATATTTCTTTCCAGAGCGACATTCGGGCAAGCAAGATGATAAATTTGTATGATGATAATCGCGGAAAATCTTCTGCATTAAAATGTCTATTGTAATTTGCATTTGAATTATGATATCAACAGGGATGCTTTGGAACGTATTTTTTTAATACAAATTTTTTATAAATCTTGAGATTGTTGATTTATTTTAGAATTAAAAAGCTTGTTTATATTAAAAAATATATTTAAACTAGAAGTATGTAAACTACTTTTATTACGAATTGAAACGATTTTAATGAATATTCATAATAGTATGACAGTTAGATATAAATGCATATTTGATAAGAAACATAGAATACAAGATTGCGCCGTCCTGGCGGCGATGACATATCTGTACAAAAAGTAAACAAAGTCGAATTAGATGTTGAAAGAAAATGTGAGAACAGCCAATTTTCTTTATAATAAACTTTTCGATAAGGGACGTGTTTTAATTGTGCTAAATTCTAATAGCCTTATTCATAAAAACTAAAGTAGCTTTAAAAAAGGTTTATAAATTGAAAAATGTTCGCAAACGGCAATTTAAAAACCTTTTTAAAATTTTTATTTTTTTATGAATAAGGCGATAAAAATATATGATTTAAAATAACTTTTACCAAGGAAAATACGAAAAAAATTGATTTTTGCGGAAGTAGGTATTAGTGAATTTCAGTGCATTTAAAGTTTCTGAGGTTTCGTTTACTTTTAGATCAGAATTGTCAAAATTGAGAAATTCAAAGTAGCAGTACAACAATCATAGAAAAGAAGATTGCGCTCTGAATGTTCTGGTATCTTTTTTGGTTTCGGTTTGACAGCCAGCTGCTGTGATGATGTGAAAATTTACCACAATGAAGAAAAATATAACAATTAAATGAAAAAAATTCGATTTTACAAATTTAGTGAGCAGTAGCGCTTTTCAAGAACGATATTTCGGACAAATCGTTAATGAACAACTATTTTTCCTTCCCGTCTGCTTTGGTTTTTGGAAGAAAATGATTAGTTCCTGCCGGCGACCAAGTCATTTCAACCACAAAATGGGTGTAATTGAAACTCAGACAAATGAGTATTAAGAAAAAGAAAAATTTAAAAATAATAAACAGAAAAAGAGATGGGTGCACAAAAAGTGAAGTTAAATAATGTTATACCCAAATCCTTAAAAGTAAACAAATCGATTCTTTTTTTAAATGTCACTGTATAGAACTCTTAAATCTATTTTTTTATGAATAAGGCCATAAGCATATACCGTTTTTATAAGTAAATCTTACAGCAAGATACTATATATTTATGTATACACTTTTTGGCTGGCGTAATATGTAGTTTTTTCAACTTAATAAAAAAGCATATTTAACCACATTAAAATTTTTTTAATATTGAATGGCGCAACACAACAACTCTTTTAGTTGTACAAAACCCTTGAACACGTGCCTGTCATATATTTCTTTCGTTTCGACATTTCGCTATCTTGCATTCCTTTAATTTTGACGTCATTCGCATTGTCAGATTTTTGAAATCCGTTTTGGTTCGACATTCTGCTATTTCATAATTCTTTCATTATCATGTCATCCATCTTCCATTTCTTTCATTTCACGTTCGCATCATCAAGCGTGCCTGTCAAATACGGCCGCCATCAAGCTTTTCAGTTTGGCAGGCACGTCCGCTGTTTGGCAGGCACATCCGTTGTTAGAAAGAGAATAGAAAAAAAGGGGCATAGGATTCCATACTTGTAAGCCCATGATAAAAAAATAGGAAGGTAAAACCGCTGAGAGGAATTTTTCTAATTCTTGACGTTTGCACGCAATTTAATTTCTCATTTTCAACCTCAAACAACAACTTCGAACTATTCCTTTTTTTCTCTCAATTTTATATGATTTTAATAAGTTTGGCAACTTCACGAATTGAGAGAACGGCTTTACCTTACTATTTTTCTATCATGCGATAGCCAACATTTTAAAATCAAGACATTTTTAACAAGATAGAAGTGACAACTAGCTCGAACTCTCTTGTAGCTAGTTATAATGTAAAAAAACTGTAAACAAACAAA